GGTGGTGTGCACCTGTATTTCCAGCTACTTGGAAGTCTGGGTGGAAGGATGACCTGAGCCCAGCAGGTTGAACCTGCGGTAACCGTGAGCATGCCACTGCACTCCAGACTGAGTGACAGAGTGAGACTCCAATTCAAAAATAAGCAAGTAAATAAACAAATGTAGTATGTAAATATCTTTGTTCTCATATGAGTCAGTTAGGATAAGAAAGTTATTTTATTTAAGAAAATGTGTTCTAGCTTCTGTGAGGGTAAAAAAAGTGCTGGATGATAATTTGAAAGTAAAAAAGTTACAAATAGGTTATCTCTGATAGCTAAAGGTAGATCTCATTTTGCGGTTTTGATATGCATTAATTTAGTTACCACAGTTTAGTTAAATAAAACCAGTACCCTACCAACATAGTTCAGATTGAAACATTATATTCACGTGAACTAAACTTTGCTGCTGGTGCCTCAGTCTGAGGGTCACTCCGTAAATAGCAGGTGTGCATCTTGACCAACGGCCTCCTTCCACTCCTTTTAGAGCCTGTCAGTGACTGGTCACTGCATCTGAAACTAAGGTCACATGCAGACAACAAAGTGTGTAGCTGTGTTGCTTTCTTGTTTCCCAGTGGTAAGCTCAAGTGACATTTTACAAAAATGGATAAGGAAAAGAAGTAATCAACCAACAAAAGAAATTGATAGCAAAGAGATAAGTGATAATGCTAGAAGTGAAATGAAATCAAACATGAAGTTGTTGAAGAAATATGTGGGCATATCATGGGAATGTTGACATTGCTGCTTTTTAGGGACCCTGTACCAGAGGAACTTGGTGAGGTGAATCCTTGGATATAAATGAGGTCTTGAACTCTTGGGTGTAGGCAATCCTCTGTCTCAGTCTCCCAAAGTGCTTGGATTACAGGCATGAACCACCGCACCTAGGCTTCTCTCAAGACTTTTGAGCACATTCGACATTTAATTAATTTTATATTGGAACTCTCTTGGACCTCGCTCTTTCGCCAATAAGAACTGGCATCATAGATTCCCTTTGTGTTTGTCATGACTTGTTTGTTCATCAGTTTTCCTCTATCTTGGTATAGTTTCTTGTTTTTGTATAATATCTCCTCCAGTAGCTTTCTGAGAAAGGTTGTATAGGAGGTAAAATTTTGAAATTTTGCATATGTTAAAATGTCTTGTTCTACCCTGAAGCTGGGTATAGAATCCTAATTTGGAAGTTATTTTCTCAGAGTTTTTATGTTATTGCTCGTTTTCTTTTAGCTTCCAGTGTTGTTGAAAACCTGATGCCGCTAGGATTCAGCATCTTTTGTGTATCGTCTCTTCCCCTTATCTCTGGAGGCTTGTTGGAACTTCTCTTGTCTTCAGGATTATGACATTTCATATTGTAACCTTGAATGGGCTGATTGCTATTCTTTGTGAGCCCCTTCAACCTGGAAACTTCTGTCTGGAAACTTTAAGTTATTTCTTTGATCTCCCCTCTCCATTTTCTTTCTGAAATTCTATTATTCAAATGTTAGATTTGTTGGCTTAATTGCTGATAACTCTTTAGTTTCACGTTTTAGTCATTTCGTTCTACTTTTGGGGAGATTTCCTGAATTTCGTCTTTATTTTGACATAGTCAGAAGTAGTGGTGCAGCTACCCTATGGCCATGGTAGGATTTTACCTCTGTGCCTAGTAGACCATAGGGCTTCTAAAACAACTTGGACTGCGGTTCTGGCTCCTGTCTTGAACTTCTGTCTTCTCTCCCTCTTTCCCCATCACCATTCCTCTCCTGACTGGCAGCCCTGGTACCATAAACATCTCTGCTTATAGGCTAGACTGGAAGTAGGAAAAGCAAATGAAACTCCAGTCTGCCTCATCATTTTTGCCGATCATACTTTTGATAAGGAAGAGAAGAGATTGAAAGTGCTGACTGAAGTTGTGTTTCTTAAAATAAATCACTTGTCTTTGCCCTTTCCATTTAAAAATTACTATGAATCATTAGGAGTTCCTTTTTTTTTTTTTGAGTCAGAGTCTAACTCTGCCTTCCAGGCTGTAGTGCAGTGGCACACTACAGCCACTGCAGCCTCAACCTGCTGGGCTCAGGCGATCCTTCTGCCTCAGTTTTCCAAGTAGCTGGAACTGCAGGTGCATGCCACCACACCTAGCTAATTTTTTTGGTTTATTATAGAGACGAGGTTTTGCCAAGTTGCCCAGGCTGGTCTCGAACCCCTGGACTCAGGCAGTCCTCTTGCCTCGGCCTCCCAAAGTGCTGGGATTACAGGCTTGAGCTGCCACACCCGGCCTCTTTTTTTTTTTTTCCTTGAGTCAGGTTCTAACTCTGTCTCCCAGACTGGAGTGCAGTGGCACAGTCGTGGCTCACTACAGCCTCAATCCTCAACCTCCTGGGCTCAGGTGGTTCTTCTACCTTCGCTCTCTGAATAGCTGAGACTGCAGGTGCATACCACCATGCCAAGCTTATTTTTTGATTTTTTTTTCTTTGTTTGTTTGTAGAGATGAGGTCTTACTATTGTTGCCTAGGCTGGTGTTGAACTCCTGGGCTCAAGCAATCTTCCCATGGCCTCCCAAAGTGCTGGAATTACAGGTGTGAGCTGCTGTGCCTGGCCCTGAATCATTAGGAATCGACTCCATAAATAAGCAAAAAAAATCTTCAGCAAGACTGAGATTAGTTTTTCACCTTATTTCTGTGTAGTAATTTCTTGTATTAGGTTCCTGTGGCTGTTATAACAAGTTAGCACAAACTGAATGGTTTAAAACAACAGCACTTTATTCTCATAGTTCTGGAGGTCAGAAGTGCCAAATTAGTATCTCTGAGTTTAAATGAAGCCTAGAGGATGTTCTAGGAGATAAGCTATCCTTTCTTTGCCTCTTCTACCTTCTGGTGACTGTTGGCATTCTTTGATTTGTGGCCCCATCACTCCAGTCTCTGCCTCCCTGGTCACATTATCTCCCCTTCAGTGTGTGCAGTCTCCCTTTACCTCTTTCTTGTAAGGATACATCTTATGGCATTTAGGGCCCACCTAGATAATTCAGGGTAATCTCCCTGTCACAAAATCCATAATGTGTCATATCTACAAAGCTGCTTTTTCCAAACAAGGAAACATTTTACAGGTTCCAGGGATTAGGATCTGATATCTTTGATGGCTATTTATTATTCAGTTACCATTATCACCTTTACTCCACACCTTTTTTTGGTCTCATATTAATAAACAGGTGAGTGACAGGCTTGTTTATGCTACCATTCTTTAAGTTTTTGTTTCTCACAATCTGATACAATTTCTGATGGATGTATTTTTCCAAAAAAAGTATAGATTTTTTTCTGATGTCTCTAAAGCTGGACATTTTGGGACTGGAACAGCAGTTCCACAGAAGTCATGAGGGGCCCAGGCTTCTTGGGTATACTTGTCGTGTGGTCACACAACTGCTGTGACATCTCTGACAGCTCCTCTGAGTTTATAGCAGGAAGCAGGGAAAGGGTGAAGATTAAAAAATGGGTTTCAGGGAAACCCTCCTGTTTTCTTTTCTTTCTTTTTATTTTTGTAGAGACAAGGTCTCACTATATTGTCTAGGCTAGTCTTGAACTCCTGGCCCAAGTGATTCTCCTGCCTCAGCCTTCCATAGTGCTGGGGTTACAGGCGTGAGCCACTGCACCCAGCCTAACCTGCCTGGTTTTTTTTTTTTTTGAGTTGGAGTCTCACTCTGTTGCCCAGGTTGGAGTGCAGTGACACGCTCACGGCTACCGCAGCCTTGACCTGCTGGGCTCAGGAAATCCTTCTGCCTCAGCCTTCCAAGTAGCTGGAACTACAGGCACGCGCCACCACGCCTGGCTTATTTTTTTGATTAATTGTAGTGATGAGGTCTCACCAAGTTGCCCAGACTGGTCTCAAACCCGCTCAGGCAGTCCTTTCACCTTGGCCTCCCAAAGTGCTGGGATTATAGGTGTGAGCCACCGTACCCAGCATAACCCACCTATTTTCTAAGAAGCTTTCCAGAAACCCTGCCCAACAACTGGATTTACATTTTGTTGGCCAGAATAGATCACATGACCACTTGTATCATCGAGGAGTCTGGGAATGTGTTTTAGCTGGATCAAGTCCCAACTATAGCAAAATTCTGTTGCTGTTAAAGAAAGGGGAGAGTGGCTATAAAGGGTAGTAGGCAACTTGCAGTTTGTTCTAGAAGGAAATAATAAACAGTTTACATTTTCATCTGCTACTAGGAAGAGTCTTTTGTGTATATAATCACATAAACTGTATTCATTCTCCAGTATATATCAAAGATCTCTTCAATGCCAGGCTGTGATAAGCCTTGGGGTGTCAGTGGCTCCCATATATTGGTACTTACTATATTATTTACATAAAGTTAAAAAAATAAGAACAATATTAAACAAGTGGGAAATTTGACCTTGTTTTTGTAAAACTAGTCTATCATTGTCTGGCTTAATAGAAGTAGTTGCAATTCTTAGTGAGTTCTCAAGGTGCTCATCAGAAATGTTTGTTTGAACTTGGCTTCATAATTGAAAAGAGCTGCTCACAAATGTATGTGCTGCCAAAATGTGATATGAATAAGATGTGACTGACAACTTCAAAAATGGAACTACACCTGGGGTCGCGAAGAAAACACTAAAAAACACATGATGTTAAAGGATTTTGTGGAGCCACATTACTAACTGTCCTAGGCCACATGTGACCTGCAAGCCTCGGGTTGGACATGTCTAGTCTACATTATAGATGGTAGCAATCTCACTTTATACATGAGGTAACTGAGGATCCATGAGAATGGCTATTATTGTAATTTCCTAGATTTGAAGATAGAATTTTAGAGCTTAGAATGGTATAGGTAATACATGGTAGAGCTTAATCAGACCTGTGCTTTCTAGTTCCATGTTTGGTGCTAACTTGTTTTGAATAGAAAACACACACACACACACACACACACACACACACACACACACACACACACACACACACACACACACGTATACAGTAAAGCATTAAGAAAGCATGGCCTTTAGTCAGGTAATCCCGGTTTGGAGTCCTAGTTCTGTCTGTTGTAGTTCTGTTCTGATAGACAAACTACTTAGCTTGTCTGTACTTCAGTTTTGTCATCGGTATTATGGGCACGATGCCATCTATCTTGTAGGATTTTTGTGAGGATTAAATTAGAGTGCAAATATTTAGTAAATGGTAACTTAAAGATATTGTTACTAATGATTATTATATAACAATCTTTGATGTCTTCATTGTTGTGGTTTAACACTTTCTTATTTTGTATAGGTATAGTAATACTGAAGAAATCACTTTTTCCCATTTTATTTATTGGGACTATCAATTCATTGTAACATTCTTTTGTGGCAGAATCACAGATTAATATTTTTCTACCAATTTCGGAAGGGGGTAGGGGAAGAACTAATCTTTTTGCCAGTTGTGAATGGTTTTTGCAGTTTGACAAGAGGAACAAACTCTGTTTTGTCTCCTGTATTAGTTTTCTGTAGTTGCCGTAACAAATTGCCACAAAATTTGGTGACTTCACACAACACAGATTTATTATCTTACAGTGTGGTAGGTCTGAAGTCTGACACCGGTCTCACAGGGTTGGCAAGTCTGCATCCCTCTCTGATTTAAGGGAGAGTTCATTTCTTTATTCTTTCAGTGTCTAGAGGCTGCCCACATCCTGTGGCTTATGACCACCTTCATCCATCATCAAGGCAGTCATGTAACATGTGGATGTCTTATAGTCTTATATACTTATAGTCTGTTTAGGTTGTAGTAGAAGGAATAGGGATGATCTGGATTTTCTTAACTGTTATGGACTGTGAGGGCATCTAAGGAGGAGGGAAAGTAAGTGAAGATCCTGGCTCAGGAGGGAGAAGTTGACCCTGGACAGAAGCCTTTGGGCAGTCCTTTAGGGATGGCAGCTTTAGTGTTGCTGGTGAAATGTGGTTTGGTTACTAACAACCCTAGGGAGTTTTTTTTTTTTTTTCTAAGCTTTTCTTTCTTCTATATCTCATATTTTTTATAACTGCAAAGATAAATCATTTGTAGGAATTTGTGAAATTTTGTTAGCATTTTTAATGGTGTTTTTAACTTAGAACTCTTTGAAGTAGATACTGTAGAAATCAAAGTATAAATAATGTCTGTGTTTGGTAGAATTATTTTTCTAATTTATGACCTGAGGTCCTTCCTTAAATTCATTTTAATACTTGAATTATTTCTCTAGTTTGTTACTACTTCTTCTGCTGCTGCCTTTTTTTTTTTTTTTTTGGTAGAGATAGGATCTTGCTGAGTTGCCCAGGCTGATCTCACATTCCTGGCCTGGGGCCATCCTCCCTCTTTGGCCTGCCAATGTGCTGGGATTACAGGCGTGAGTCACCATGCCCGGCCCCAATTTGTTACTTCTTACTATAAAAGTATTTGAAATGTGTTGAATGAGCATCTTTTCCTAAATGATAAGTCTTGTCTTGTCTTTGAGTTATTCATCTATTCTGATGAGTCAGTCAAGCACTTATTGACACCCCACTGTGCCAGGCTTCTGTTTGGCTTTGGGTTGTAGTGGTAAACTTTGGTATAGTCCCTTCCTTCCCACAGCTTGTGGCCTTGGGGCTGTCGGCATGTAGCAAACGTAGTAACTATTCAGATGGATGATTTTAGTGTGTGTATAACTGATTGAGAATCTAACTACTATATATAGTGGAAGAATCGGCAAACATTTTTCTTTGTAATTTTTTTCCAGTGTATGTTTAATTGGCTAATGGTTCTTTAGAAATACTTGAAAATAATTTGGTGACATACAATTGAAATATAACCATGACTGCTATTTAACATATTGACTAATGTTTCTTGTTTGAAGTATAAGTTTAGATTGCTTTTTGAGGTGAAATTTTGAATAGGTATAATTTCTTAAACTTTTCCCAAATATTTAATTTGCAAAGTTACAGGTTTCATTTTTTGCAGATAAGGTTAATAATAACTATTTTTTGTCTACAACATTCCTTAAAATGTTTCTGATTAAGGAAGTCCTGACACTAGTTTCCATTTTTGTTCATTTAGGAATGTTTTCAAGGAAGTTGGGCTACTCACAAATTACTGCATAAGAAAGCAAGTAAGTAAAATCACATATTTTTGTACCATTTGTCTTAGAAGTGGCTTTTGTGCCAGAAACCAAGAATTGTTTCAGTTCTGAAAGCGTATATTTGAATGTCTTGAAAGTATAATCCTGAAAGCCAGAATTACGAGATTTTAGATTCTTTGTGATACGTAGTCACGTAAGTAACATGTGGCTATATAATATATCTTTGTTATTTTGTATCACATATTTAACATGAAAACATGAGATAGTTGCTAGGATCAGTGGATCTTGCTTGAGCAATACCTGATAGTGTACTAATCTTTTAACCCCAACTAGTCTTTGCTGGAAGTGTTTGCAAATTGTAGGCAGGGGACACGGGAGCTATTTGGCTTCATTTAGCCAGATCCCTATTCCTTTTGTTTAATTTCAGTTTTTATTGCCTTTTCTACCCAACATTATATTACTTTTTATTTTTTATTCTTGGTGTTTTAATGTTATTACCTGCAGTCTACTGTTTACTTTTTTTCCCCCTGTTTTCCAGAAATGTTTTTTGGGGTTTATTTAAAATAAAGTTTTTTTAAAACTTACCTTTTTTGATGTATTTGGCTTCATAGAGTAGAACTATTGCTTGCTTCTTAGCTATTGCTGTCAGCCACACCTATGTAGCTATGATTTGAATAACCTTTCTCGCTCCAGCTAATTTATCCTGCAGATTCATGCCATTAGTGTGGCTGGTTTAAGACAGCCTGTCACAATTACCTAAAAATTGACAAGGGCTCTCTGTTCTTTAGTATTGCCAACCTGATGGATGAAGGCTTGGCAGACAGTACGTGGTTCTTGGTGTAGGGTTTTTGTTTTAACTTGACTGATCTTGGTGTCTTGTATTCATCTTCTTGTGTATTTTTAGGAGTTACCTGATTTATGAAGTTTGATAGATTGTTTTTACCAAAATAAATCTAATTGAGGCCAGCCAAACCACTGTGTGAAGGAAAAGGAAATACAAATTTTAAAGAATTTATTTTCTGTGGTTGTATAAAGTAATGCCTGTACTTAATGGAAATGCTAGGCTATTGTGGGAGGAAATGTGGTTAGAAATGAGGTAAAATGATGAGAATAAATGTAAGTTTATCAAAGCATAAAAGACAGGATTTGTTAATTTTTATTTGTTGCCTAAAATCAAAGTGTGGAGATAGGTTTAAATAATGTCATATAACGTATAACGTGATTCACTCATGCATTACACCCTGTGGTTCTTTGTGTTAGGCATTTTGCAGAGCTTTTTGATCTGATTATTAGCATTTTTTTACCCAGGAAGCTAAAGTATAGGAAAGTATAAAGGGTTGAGGTTAGGCAGTATGTCAATAAAAGAGCTTATAGTGGGTCTCTGCCTCAGGTTTGCTCACTGAAGTGTGCCATTTTCTTCAATACTGGATGTCTAAGGGCAGAGCAATTTCATTTTGACGTACTATACTGTAAGAGAATTAAACAGCAGGTGTTGCCTATTTAAAATAAATGTAGTTATTACAATTGGGCTTAGGCTATTTGGATTTTACTTATGCCTCTAGGTTTTAGTGTGGTGCCATCTTGTTGTTGGTGTCCTCTTGGATCTTGTGGGCTGATTTTCTTCTGTGGGTGCGCCTAATGGTCTTAATCCCTTTGGACTCTGTTGTATAAATGTAACCCTTAGCTGGTCAGCCCTGTATCTGTCACACGCTAGTAAACTGATGCCAAGTATATTGTTGTGGGTAGCAGTCCTAGAGAAGGGAGTGATATTGGGGAAGGGTGATCTCTAGAGATGAGAAGAGTATTCAGAAAGGCATTAGGGAAAAAGAATGCTGGGAGAGGAGGGAACCAGGACATCTTAAAAGTGAGAATTCATTCCAAGAAACAATGGTGAGATAACGCACAGCAAGCAGTTCTTATCATGAAGATGATATACTAATTAATGATCTCTGATTAAGAATGCCTGATTTACATCTATGTTTATGTAAATTACTATAATTTGCTTTTAATATCGTTGACTGGTTTTGATGTTGGAGCAATTCTTGTCTGGCCTCAAGAATTAAAATGGGAGATAGCTCCTCTCATTTTCTGAAATAAATTATGTAGAATTGGTATTATTTCTTCCTTAAATGCTTAGTAGGATTCACAAGTGAACCATTTGGATCTGGAGTTTCTTGATTGCAGAAACTTAATTTTTTGTACAGGCCTTAGGAAATTTTCAAGTTATTTAAATGACTCAAAGGCAGGATTTATTTTTCATGTATCATAGTAAAGAAGACCCTTCAGATTGTAAAGCCCTTAATTAAAATCATATAATACTGATTCTTGGGGGACATTTTAAAAAATACTTTATCTCCTGCCAGAGCATACTTAACTAGTATTTCTTTTTAGTTTGATCTGTAAAAGTTGTAGCACTTCACATCTGCAGACTGTATTATTCTACACTTTTGGTATATCACTGACATATTCAGTATGTTACTTTGTCTCCCATTTTCCTGAAGTAAAAGTTGGAAGAATTTGACAGGTATCTGTTAAATAGTCAAAAAATATCCTATAAAAACTCCATTTAATAAAGGAACTATAATAACACTTTTTCTTCTTCACCCTTACCCATTCACACAGGTGTGCTTGATTTTGGGGTTACAGAGAAAAAGTATTAGGTATTGTTTCAGAACTGGCTTCATCAAACTTCTTGACCATGGATTACTCTAAGCCTCACCCCCAGAATACTGAAATCATAGTTTTGTTGTGAGGATTAAATAAGCAAATCCATGTGAAGTGGCTAGCACATGTACTGTACATAGTAAGTGCTCAACAGCTATTTTAATGATCCTCTCTGGAAGAATTGAGTCAGAATTTTGAACAGAAAATCCTGTTCCAGGCAAAGCTAAGCTATACTTTGTGTCAGTTGACTAGAGGAGGCAATTGGTATAGACCTTTTCTTTCTTTCTTTTTTTGAGTTGGAGTCTCAGTCTGGCACCCGGCTGGAGTGCAGTGGCACGCTCCCGGCCACCGCAGCCTCAACCTGCTGGGCTCCGGCAATCCTTCTGCCTCAGCTTTCCAAGTAACCGGAACTACAGGTGTGCATTACCACACCTTGCTAAATTTTGATGTATTGTAGAGACGAGGTCTCGCCAAGTTGCCCAGGTGGGTCTCGAACCCGCCGGCTCAGGCAATCCACTCGCCTCGGCCTCCCAAAGTGCTGGGATTACAGGCTGAGCCACCGAGCCCCACCGGCATAGACCTTTTCAAAGGGTAAATCCTGGCTAACATGTGCTTTGGACTCGACCTTACACGTATTAGGTACTCGTGATCTTACAGCATCTTTCATTGTGATGTTTGAAAGACAGCTGTTGGGTGTTCATTTACAGTGCTCTGTGCTTTCACAAACTTTTAAAAAAGACTAGTTATGCGATTTTGCTACCAACCCCAGCTCAATTCAGATTTATTAGGCGTCTGTTGTGTTCTAGCACTTTAGGCTCAGAGCAAATTGATCCTAACTCAAGTCTGAGTTTCCATAAGTAAATTATACCTAGAGATTAGATCAGAACTTGCCACATTCAACCTTAGTTGTCTAGAAAACTTCTAGGTTACGGTGTTTGCTTTCAATTCTCTTTTGAATGTGGATTGTGGAAAGGTTTGGTAGGGCTTATAATTCATATTTTAAAATAAGCCTCCTGTAAATTGACGTTGTGGTGAGAATACATTTAGCATTTACTTGAGAAAAGCAGACTATGAACTGTTCCTGTTCTATATTGTATAAAAACTTGTAATATGTTTAGATAAGGATTTTTCTTCCAAGGCAGTTAGATCCTCTGACAGAAGTTACAGGGGGTTATGGATACAGAAATAAAGCCATAGCATTGATGATTTAGGTTAGAGTGGAAGTTTGCTGGATTTTTGTGTCTGGGCTCTTTAGCTTGGTTTTAAAACAAGTGATAATTTTTCAGTTTTTTTTTTTTAATTTAGTTTAATTTTATGTTGTATTTTTTTGAGTCATAGTCTTACTCTGTTGCCCAGACTGAAGTGCAGTGGCATAATTATGGCTTACCACAGCCTTGACCTTCTGGGCTTAGGTGATCCTCCTGCCTCAGCCTCCTGAGTAGCTGGGACCACAGGCTACAAACAAGTGACAGTGACAGTGTGCTGCTCCTTAGTAACTTGGCCACTGAAACATTCCTTTTTCTCCCTCTCCCTCTTCCTCTTACGTCTATTCATCCATCTCTCAGAAGATGAAAAGGCAAAGCGAGAAGTGTCTTCCTGGACTGTAGAAGGTGATGTTAACACTGACCCATGGGCAGGTTATCGGTATACTGGTAAACTCAGACCACATTATCCACTGGTGAGTAAACCAGGTAATAGGAACTTACATTCCAATTTTCAGTTTTCTTAAAATGATACTTATAATTTGTATTCCAATAAGGAATCATATACTCAGGATTAAGTTTACAGGAACTTGCATTCTAGCTCTTTAGCTCTCTTAGTACATTATTTGGGATCTTGTCATTTGGCAATTGTGGAAGAAGTGGAAAAACGTTTAGATGAAAGGACTATCTTTTTAATGAAAAAAAGTATGTGGTAGGTTTGAATAGATATTTTGTCGCTGTCATGATGGCAGTGTATATAGACATCCCTTGGTATCCGTGGGAGATTGGTTCCAGGAAGTCCCTTCTTCCCCTGCATGGTTACTGAAATCTGCTGATACTCAAGTTCCATGGTTATGCATCTATGGATGCGGAACCCACAGATACAGAGGCAAGATTGTAAGTCGTGTTTCTAAAATTACTTTATCATGATATATTTCGGCCTTAATTTTGTTATGGCATTTCTGCTGCTCTTTCCCCTTCCTGTGGCCTTGGCAGATGACACCCAAAGTTTTAACATAGGAGTCATGCAAGCAGACATCTATTTGTCATCCTTAAATATTTAAATTCTCTTGTTTTGGATTTTCTTTTCACAAAATAAGTATTTTTTAATATAAAAAACTTGGAAAAATAGAAAAAAACATAAATTTCTTAGAGATAGTGACTAAGAACATGCTGGTGTATATTTACTTTGAGACATTATTGTTGTTAGCTTGCCAATTTGTTTGGAACAATACGGGCACTTTGTAGTCTATATCTAATCTTAACTTCTTAATGTCTTTGACCACTCTCTCGCTTTCTTAAATATCACAAGAAAGGGTGGCATTAACACTAGGAAAGTAAAGCTTAATCTTAATGAAGTAGATACCTATTATAATATTTAAGGTATCACTAAAAACCTTTTCATTTAAAGACTTTTGCATGAAACGTTTTATTTTTTCTCCTGGTTTTATCTATTTATTTTGTTAGTAAATTGATTTTAACTAATCTCCTTGATATTTTTAGATGCCAACAAGGCCTGTGCCAAGTTATATTCAAAGACCAGATTATGCTGATCATCCCTTAGGTAAGTTCTGCTGTATTGATTCTTCATTTTTTAATTTGTGGGCTTGATGACTACTGCAAGAGAAGAGTGCTTTCTTGTTGAAATTTTTAGTGCTGGACTCCTAATAAATATAAACATTGTGTTTTCAAGCCACCTTAGAACACTTAAGAGAATTGAAGATCCCCCTGCATTAATCTATGCAATTCTGAAAACATTGTTTATGTAGCCGTTAAAGACCATATTCACAATAATACGGTATTTTATGCTGTTTTGTCAGCTTCTAGATTTAAAAAAAGCAGTTTTAATTTTAACATGTTCTTATACCTAAATTAAATAATATCTATTTAGGTGAAAGCAGATTGTGGAAGCCTGAGTGAGTGTATAACTAAAGACTCTGGACTGTAACAGTAATAGAAATAGTAGTAATGATGGTGATGATGATAGTAATGCTAGAATAATGATGATGATCTATAATAGTAACCGGTATTTATTTTTTGCTTAACTACATGTCAGGCACTGTGCTAAGTTCTTTGCACGTGTTACTGCATTTAACACTTTCAACACTCCTGAGGTAGGTTCTGTTGTCTTCTCCACTTTATAGATAGTGACATTGAGACACCCAGAGATGATAGGTAATTTGCAACACAGGTCAGTGGAAAAGTCTCTGACCTTACTCAGGCCCTGTCACATAATTTAAATTGGACTTTGTGAAATTACTGATTTTGCATGCCCCAAAGGGTTGAATATCAACAACTTCATGTGGTTTAATCTAGTAAGCTATCTTGACTTTGTTCTCTGAGAAGTGGGGAACTGTATTAAGTTCTTATGAATATAATTTAAAATTTATTTAAATTCTATTACTTCAGATAAACTGAAGGAAAAGACAGCCCGAGTGTAGAACACTGTTGAGGATGTATAATTTCATTTTTCTCTATTTAATATGTTTAGATATAATATTAACTTGTATTTAAAAAAATAGACATAGACAAGGTAAATCCTAATGTTATGCAGTGAAGGTAAATCCTACTCCTGGGAGGTAACCACTTATATGAGTTTCTTACAGAACTTTTCAGAGGTATTCTTTTCAGAGGTAAACACATAAGGGTTCACCTTCTTTCCCCTCCATTTATACACAAAAGGAACAGACTTTTTACTTTGCTGTATTCTCCTAATATGTCTTAGAAATACTCCATATAAAGCACCTCTTTTTAGTGAATGAAGTTTCCATTATGTGAATGTATCATAATTTCTTTCTCTTTAAAAAAAATTTTGTATTTTAAATATGTGGGTACAATTCAGGGCTAGGTATACAAATGTTAATTATGCAGGTAGCCTTTTTTGCATAATTTCTTAAAACAGACTTCTGCTAATGAGTGTTTAGATCACTTCCAGGTTTATGCTTAATCAATTTGACTGCAATAACTATTCTTATATTAACATCTTTGCTCGTTAGTGAGCCTAAAGTAAAATAAGTGGATCATGCAGTTTTAACTTTGAAAGATAATTACAAATTTCAGAGATTTATTTTCAATTGTTGCTTCCATTAAAAAACATGTGGGAGCCTCTTTTCTCCTCTTTCCCAGCACAGTGTTTGTCAAGCTTTACGATCTTTGCTAATCTGAAAGATGGACAATTATATTTTGCTGCTATTTTAATTTGCATTTTTGAATTATGAGTAAAATTGAGCATGTTTTCATATGTGAAAAATCATTTATGTTTTCTTTCCTTTTGCAATGCCTTTTCATGTCTTTAGCCTTTTTCCCCGTTAGGTTACTAGTTTTTCCATACTGAGTTATAAGTTGTTCTTTATATTAAGTAAAATAATCCTTTGATATATGTGGTAACAGTGTTTTTTCTCAGTTGTATTTTGTCATTACATTTATGACATACTTTCAATATTCTTATACAGTATAGCTTATCAGTGTTTTCTTTTAAGGTGTATATGGCTCTATGACCTAGAAAGATGTTTTTTGGTTCAGAGGTTATAAAAACATTTTTCTTTATTTTCTTCCAGTGTTTTTATGGTTTCAGTCTTTGTGTATATGATAACAATTTTTTTCTATCTGAAACTTATTTAATATTAGGAGTTAAATAAAGATGCAAATTTATCTTTTTCTCAGAAGAATACCTTATTATCATATTATTGGTTATTTTAAAAAATTAATCTTTTTCTTACTGATTTGAAATGCAACCTATATAATTATATTAGATTCTCACATGTCTTTGGGTCTGTTTCTGGATTCTGTTCTGTTTCATTAACCTATTTGTCTAATAATGTGCCATTACCAAACTCTTAATTATCTTAGATATGTAATGTTTTAATGTTTGGTAGGCCTTGTTGCCCCTACCTTTCCTCTTTTTCAGAATTTTCCTGGCTATTCTTGCATGTTTGTTTTTCCATGTGAAATTTAGAATCAGCTTGTCTGGTTCCCAAAATTATCCTGTTGGCATTTTTAATTGGGATAGTATTAAATTTATAGATTAATTTTGGAAGAATTGACACCTTTACAATATTGAGTCTTCCTATCCAGGAACAGGGTATGTTTTTCTATTTTATTTGTTTCCTTTTATATCTTCCAGTGGTATTTCAGATTTTCTTCATGTAGATCTTTTATTATTAAGTTTATTCCTGGGTACTTTATCTTTTTAGTCATTTTTGTGAATAGTATTTTCTGGTTTTTTTTTTTTTAGCTCATTATTTGTATATGAGGGAGTTGTTCATTTTGCTGTATTTACCTTATAACTTGCCAACTTGATGAATTATTTCTGGTCAATTACCAGATAATTTTTCCCCCCTAGGGACATATTGACATAGCTGAAATTATAAGAATTTTTGCTTTTTTCTTTCTAATTTTGTATGTCCTATTTCTTTCTCTTGTTTAATAGCATCTGCTAGTATTGCCAGAGAACAGTGTTAAGTAATAGTGCTGATACTGGGCATTCTGTGATGTTGGTTCATGCTTTGAGATTTATATTTATCATGTTAAGTTGGTAGCTGGCCATGTTATCAGATTGTTTTTTTCTTTTGAGATGATTATTTAGTTTTTTTCTTAGATTATGACTGATGAATTAGATTAATAGATTTGCCAATGTTGAGCTATCCTTGCTTTCTATTCTGGATCTCACTGAGGTCATTGTATATTACATGTTTTTTGCATTCTGTTTGTTAATATTTTGGATTTTTTTCATCATACTTATACACAAGATTAGTTTATTTTTTGTTAGATTTTGAAATAATTGCAATATGGGCTTCATTGCTTTTAAATGTATATAAAAGTTGAATTAAACTGACACATTCTATTAGTGAAGATTCTTAAGGCAGTAGTTTTTAAACATTTTGGACTATGTCCCAGAGTAAGAAATGAGTTTTATAATGTGTGTGTGTGTGAATTAAGTCAAACATTTGACAGTAGCACTTATTCCTACTCTGTATTACACAATGTGATATTTTCTAATCCATTTATTTACTTAAAAAAATGTTAGTTGTAGCCCATAAAAGGTTACAAATTACAGTTTGAAAAATATTGACTTAGGTTCCTTTTTCTTTCTTTTTTTTTTTTTTGAGTTGGAGTCTCACTCTGTCGCCCAAACTAGAGTGCAGTG